TAAAGTAGAAAAAACAACTTAATACTGGTGGTTTTTCTTTTGGTGTTCCTTCAAAACAACCAACAAAGGGGGTACCAACTCAAAAAAAGCGAACCACCCTCAAGGTGTGGAGGTTGTTTTGGGCCCTCGCAGCATCCGGGGACCCGAGAAGTATGGGAATGACTCGGTGCTGTTGACGCAAGTGCAGATGTTTGTGGGCCCCTGGAAACCCATATGTGACGTAGTTTTTCTGTCCATACCAAAAAATGACCATAGGGTCATTTACGGCTTTTTGCCAGCAAATTGTTGAACGAATACGGGCTGCATACGGCCAAATGCAGCCACCGGCCAGCAAAAAAATGACCGTACGGGAAAAACGATCCAACTACGGGTTCCGTCCAAAACAAAATGGCCATACGGCTTTCCAGGGGGCTCAGGCAACTAGATCCCCCAGCAATTGGTGCCCTTTCTTGAACCCTTTTTTGGTTGAGCCAGATTTCCAATGGAGTCAGTGTTGCAAGGCCCAGAGCAGCTTTCCGCGTGGTTTTGGGTATTCTCCTCTGTGGTTTGGGCATGACTCACCAAAGCTACGAACCGTCTTTGTTCAGGTCTGGTTGCAAACGGTTTGGCTGTGGCTCAAAATTCAAGAGCTAGGGTTACGCAGGTGTTGGTCCATGTTTCCACTTACCAGGGTTCCATGTTGGTACCGGTTTTTTGAGCCATACCCGTTTGGTAGCGTTGTTGTTTGTGGGAAAATTCGCTGATGTCGATCTCGCTTTGGCTTCAGCTGAAGAACCTCAGACGCAAAGAGCCGATTAGACAGCTGGGGTGGCCGGAACAGGGGGGTGGTTCAAGACCCGTGAAGGATATTTTTGCTATGGGTGTGTCCAAGAATGTGATAGTTGGCATTTCTATAGGGGTCCTTCCGATTCAAATGTGTTGTTCTCTCAGATTCGCCTGAAACACTTCCCTGCAAGCTGGATTTGACAGCCACGCTAAGCGAGGCTGGGTTGCGAGATGGGGACAGTGGCTGCAGTTGCGCAGCTGGGCAAACTGGCTGCCACCGAAAAGGCGTTTGCTTGGCATAGCCACGGGGACGAGGTTGTGACCTGGGGTGATCCTCACTGTGGCGGAGACAGCAGCCAGGTGCAAGAGCAGCTGAGAAATGTCCAACATATCCAAGCAACGGACAGGGCTTTTGCTGCCATTCTTGAATCTGGGTTTGTTGTGACCTGGGGTCATCCATCCTATGGAGGAGACAGCAGCCAGGTGCAAGAGCAGCTGACCAACGTCCAGCGCATCCAAGGAACTTATCGTGCTTTTGCTGCCATTCTCGAATCTGGGTTTGTTGTGACCTGGGGTGCTCCACACTATGGCGGAGACAGCAGCCAGCTGCAAGAGCAGCTGACCAACGTCCAGCACATCCAAGCAGCTGTCCAAGGTGCTTTTGCTGCCATTCTCGAATCTGGGTTTGTTGTGACCTGGGGGAATCCAGCCTATGGTGGAGACAGCAGCCAGGTGCAAGAGCAGCTGACCAACGTCCAGCGCATCCAAGGAACTTATTTTGCTTTTGCTGCCATTCTCGAATCTGGGTTTGTTGTGACCTGGGGTGATCCACACTATGGCGGAGACAGCAGCCAGGTGCAAGAGCAGCTGAGGAATGTCCAGCACATCCAAGCCAATGCAGGTGCTTTTGCTGCCATTCTCGAATCTGGGTTTGTTGTGACCTGGGGTGATCCAGACTGTGGCGGAGACAGCAGCCAGGTGCAAGAGCAGCTGAGGAACGTCCAGCGCATCCAAGCAACTGCCGGTGCTTTTGCTGCCATTCTTGAATCTGGGGCTGTTGTGACCTGGGGTAGTGCAGATTACGGCGGAGACAGCAGCCTGGTGCAAGAGCAGCTGAGGGACGTCCAGCGCATCCAAGCAAATGGCGGTGCTTTTGCTGCCATTCTTGACTCTGGGGCTGTCGTGACCTGGGGTCATCCATCCTATGGAGGAGACAGCAGCCAGGTGCAAGAGCAGCTGACCAACGTCCAGCGCATCCAAGGAACTTGTCGTGCTTTTGCTGCCATTCTCGAATCTGGGTTTGTTGTGACCTGGGGTGATCCACACTATGGCGGAGACAGCAGCCAGGTGCAAGAGCAGCTGAGGAACGTCCAGCACATCCAAGCAGCTGTCCAAGGTGCATTTGCTGCCATTCTTGAATCTGGGGCTGTTGTGACCTGGGGTCATCCAGCCTATGGTGGAGACAGCAGCCAGGTCCAACAGCAGCTGAGCTTGTAATATGGTGCTGTTGTTACATGCACGGCGCGAATATGGGGCACTAAAAGCGTCCTGGCACCCCGTCTGGCTGTTTGTTTTTCCCGGTCAAACTCCCGTATTTGGCCGTATTTGCCCGTATGGCCATGATTTTTCTGTCATTTGCGGAAATCACCCGTATGAAACCCATATTTTTTCGACATGTTGTTGAAAAAAAGCCGTAAAAAACTGTATGGCCTCTTTTTTCTCGGTCAAAGGCGTATGACCCAAAAAAAACGGCCATATGGGGGTCCCAGGGTGCTGAAAGGAAACGACAGGTCAAACTCCACAATTGGCTGCGGCATCCGTGTCCGGTGCCATCAGGTGCTGTCAAGTGGAAGACATGAGGCTTTGTCTATTTGGGTTATTTTCAAGCATCAAAGCACCATTCAAGGGGTCCCCAGAAAGAGAGAACCTTGGATGGCAGTTTCGGCGCGTGGTGTGCATGCTCACGGAGGAATACGCCTTATGGACGTGAATAGCTACAAGTTTCAAGCCTCAAACGTGTGAAGAGAGCCCCCATTTGGCCCAGTGCCCAGGCCGATCCATGACCAGCTTGGGTGTCCTTGTTGCAACCGGTGGGTTGCTTCCTTTTTTGGATATTTTTTTTTTGGGGGGGGTTGGGTTCCGATTCTCCTTTCTGCACTCAACCCCGAGAAAAAGGACGCGGGTTCGTCTTCTTCCCATGGACATCCACGCATCTGAGTGTCTTGGCAGTCTCTCGGTGCCGAGAGAGGAAGGGTTCTACGCTGTCAGAGATCCTGGAGGTGGCGCAACTAGGTCCCCCACCAGGCATTCGTGCCCTTTCACCAACTTTGTTGGTTGAGAGATTCGGTTCCCCTGCCAAAATAGACTACCCAGAGGCTCCTGGGGCTTTCAATGGAAGACCCGACCCCTTTATTAGACACCTTGGAGGTGGTTGGGGGTCTCAAAACCAGGTTGATTGAAGGCCCGAACTCAATCGGGAGCCTTTGGGTACAGAACCTGATAGAAGCCACGAACCCGAATGCGGACACGTGAGCGCCTTCTGCTTTCAAGAGCGCCGCGCAGCTGGGACACTTATTTTGCCGCCACACGGGGAGCATATAGTCTACAGCTCGCGCGATGATGGCTACGCGCTCCTCGAAAGAGTGTGCGAGCGACATGTGTGGTCAGTCACAGTCTTAGTGCCTGGCGCGACGTTCGCAGTCGGATCCTGGCAGGTAAAAAGCAAAGCAAGACCACCCGTATCTTCAAATCGAAGCTTGCATCCTAGGTGGCTAACACAAGCGCGAGGTTAGGTTTGCGTTTGTATTTTTTTCGCGGGTCTTTCGCTCGCCTGGCGCCGCGGGGTCAGAGCCTCCTGCAGCAGCTACTCGTCGAAAAACAGTCGCTGGCCGATCATTGCAAACTTTGTCGGCCAACGGACAAAAAGCCTGCGGCCTCTAGCCGACAGTGGCTCGTCAAAGTTGCCCAAAGACTTTAGCGCGCCTCAGGAGACAGTGACCGCAAGCCAGATCCGCAGGTGCATCGCGCTTCGGTTCCCTGCGGGATGAATACACGTAGGCCTAGGGAGATTCGAGCAACGATGCTCGATTGTAAAAAAAATAGTGTCTTCTCCAACAAGGCTGACACACCAACAAGTCTAAACGTGGATGACAGCGCAAAGACATTTGCATAATTGCAGGCCAGCGGCCGGAAGTCGCTGCTGACAATCGCGGTCGCCGCAGCGGCCAGAGGCGCGGTAGAAAAAGTTCGGGGAGATCGCCAAATCGAGCCAGTGCTGAAAAGGCAAAGGCTGGTACTCGAAGGGGGAACCTTTGATCTGGATGCCTTCCGCGGCAAGCGGTAAAGCACCATAGAGCTCCAATCTGCCATTGCCATCGTCCGGCCCCAGAATGTCGGATCGCCGCAGTTGCCAGAGCGTGTCCGGATGAATCTCCAAATAGAGCAGCCAGCCATCCAGCCAGGAACTCGCCAGCGTGGCGTCTGCCGGGGCCGAAGCCTGGCCGTCCAAGCTGGCCTTGTGACGCCAAACTCGGCCGCTAGCCGGCAACGGCCCGATTGGCCGGCTGTCATCCTCCGCCACCCCCAAGCCTTGTCGGTTTACATTCCGAAAGAAAGCCAGCGTGGCTTGCTCTTGGCTGCGCCAGCAAGGCAGGCAGGTCGAATGGGCAATGCCTTGATCCGTGGCTAACGCCCACACGGCCAGCGCGCCTTCGCCAGTTGTCTTGCGCCACTGGACCTCTGTGACCGCTACGAACAAGTGCTGAGACATGGCAGGAGCGCGGTCTCGACAAGGAAGAAAGTGGGAAAATGGCTACGGCAGTGGCGATGACAGAGACATGCTTGCCAGGCCGTGGACAAACCTTGCATGCCATGCTGTATGCGCAAAAGCAGAAACAAAGCCAGCCTGGAAAACCCGCAGCAAGCAAATCGTCTGCCAGGCGCTGTCGCTGCCTCAGTGCAAAGCGAGCATTATCATAGACGAGCGCAGCGTGCCATCTGCGAAGCTTTTACACAGGCACAGCCTCAGCTCGCAAACGCGCGATGCTCTGCCACCGCTTTTTTTTTTCGAGTCGTTGATGGCACCGGAAGTATCACCCTGCCATGAGCCGCGAGCAGCCTTACAATCTTCGCGGGGTCGAGGCCTCCTACGGTTGAAATGCAAATTGCTGCAGCAAGAGTATACTCGTCGCGGGGTCGATGCCTCCTGCGCCGGGCTTGCCCGAAAAACAGCCGACTCAGGTCTTGGGCACGTATCGCTTCTTGGCCGGCGTGTCAGTGATCAAGTAGCAGGCCCCACGCCTCACGCCACTCCTCTCCGGCACTTTGACCACATTCTCAATCTCACGCGCGATGCAGTTCTTGGCTTCTTCGTCCGTCATGGCATCTGGCAAAGCAAAGACTCGGTTAGCCATGAAGACCGGTCCGTCCTTGCGGAACTTCACGGCGCCGACTGCCAGTCGGGTTTGGTTCTGGACGTTGAAAGCGAACATGTCGGGCAAAGTCGCAAGGGCTTCCAAGCGAAACTCAGCTCCGTCTTCGTCCAACAAAGACTTCACCTTTTCGTGCGACACAAGGATGGTTTGATTGTCCAGCTGATCGGCTTTCACCCGGTCGGCTGCCTGAATCAGCATGCACACGTGGGAGGGCATGCAGCCTGTGGCTTGCACTTTTGGACCAGCAGGCGTTTCCACAAGCGACGCAATGCTCGGGATCGCGAGAATCTGCCCCTGCTGCGCCTTCGGAATGACGCACTTTGCACGCAAGTGAAAACATCAGGGCCCTTAAGGGGGGGGGGTGGGAGGGGGGGGGCTCCAACAAGCGCGCGAGCAGACTCTCCCTCTCTCCCTCTCTCCCTCTCTCCTCTCTCCCTCTCTCCCTCTCCCTCTCTCTCCCTCCCTCTCCCTCGCCTCGTCAATCGTGTACCTGTACGGCGCAAGTGGCCGGGCTTCCGTTCCAACGGGGGCAATCAGATTGGGAGTTGCTTGCAGCACGTCGAAGTCCACCACGCGGAGGTCTCCGAAGGTATTGTACTTGTTCGCCCCCAAAAGGACATCGCAGCGAGCTTGAAAGGTGAGGCTAGCCACGCCCATGTCGACCACACTCTGCTCCAAGGTCTGCAAGTCGACAGAGTTTGTCATAATGCACAACTCATCTTTGCGGACGGCAGCTTGCGGGTTAACCCGCAAGCTGCCGCTGAAGTCAGCCAAAGTGACCGCAGTCAACACCATCTTCTCGGCTCCCTTGCTGCAGTTACAGCCTTCTTGGGCACGTCGGCAGTGGCCGGACACTGCGTCAATCTTCAGGCCCGACTTCTCGCAAACTTGGAACACGGGATTCGAGTCGCGGATGTCCACCAGCCAAACGCCAGGGACAAACACACGGATCTCTTCCTGCAAGGCCTCCTTGGACTGGCTCGCGCCCAAGTCAAAGAGCTGCTGCATGTTGTCCGGCTGGGTAATCAGCTCCGGGCCATCGCCAAAGGCCAAGGACGCATTCTTCACCGACACCAAGCACGACACGTAGCAGGGGCCTTCTGCACTCATGCGCGTTCCCTTGCCTGTCCAAGGCACAGACAGGTCGAGGCCGCCGTCCACAGCCACTGACTCGAAGCGCGCCAGCTGCGGCCCATCGGACACTGTCTGGAAAAGGGCGCTGCCTCGGTCGCTGTCTCCCATGTATTCTCCGGACAAAGACACGGAGCCTTCTCCAGAGTTCACAGAGAAGTTCAATGCTCGAACAACCTAGCGCAGGGCTCTCGCGCCAAAGCGCTCGCTCTAGGCGAGCCCGCCTCTCCAACGGTGAGATCCTTGACGCGCTCTAGGAAAGACGGGCCCCACAGTTCACAAAGAACTCGACGGTCACTCTCATCTTTGATCCAAACTGCTGCTTTTGCCTGACCACAGGCGCAGTCACGACTTAAACGCATCACTTTTCGGAAAACACGCAGCCATGAGCCCCTGCCGCCTTGCCACCCTTCAACATCTTCACGCTGATGGAGCTAACCTTGCCCATGACGTCCGCTCGCTGGCCGCGCTGCAGCCCTTCGAGCTGCGCAATCTGACTATTGCAGGTGAAGCCATGCCTGTTGCAGACTTGCAAAGCCGCGTAGTCCGGATGCAGTGGAGGCAGCGGCAAGGCGACCATGCCGCCGCGGGCGCCTATGTCCATGTAGCGGCCGCCGCTGTGGTACTTGGACTGCTTCATGCAGATCCGTCCGAAGTGAATCGTGGCGCCCGTTTTGACGATTTCATGGAGCGCCTTCATGGGCTCGCGATCACCGACCGCCTCGGACCACATGCCGCCCAGCTCCTTGTCTAGAGCCAAGCCTGCGACTTTGAAGAAGTTCTTGACGGGCTTCATCACAGAGTCCACGACCACAGCCGCAACCTTGAAGGAAGCGCTGCGGGAGTCCAGGACACTGGAAAAGACGCTCTCTCGTTGGGCTGACATGGGCGGGGTCGACGCCTCCAGCCCTGCGCGGCTGAGAGCAGGGTCGACGCCTCTGGTCTCGCAAAACAGCTGATGCTGCACGGCTGCGATCACATGTTCCAAAAGCTTATGACAGCGTCCGTCTGAAGCCGTGGTTAAGCAATGTGACAGATAAAACATCTGTTGAAATCAGACACTCCTAATTGGAGAAATGCCCCTCATTTTGATACGGGAGCGGCTCAAAAATAACATCCCGTGGCACCCTGGCAAATGTAAAAGTAGACTAAGACCTGTGTGTGTGTGTGTGTGCGCGCGTGTTTTTCCAGGCGTCTGCAGGAGCCAACTTTTGGTCACGTCCTAACCCCCAGACCGTGCGCCTCTTTCAAAAGACAGTTTTCAATTGACCCCGCGCTATGTTTGGCGCAGCTCTGACAGAATCTAGACTGGCACAAGTTGGAGCCAAGAGAGAACCAACCAGTACAGGACACGGGGTCGCTGCCTCCTGCGTCAATCTCCTGCCACGAAAGCACGCGAGCGCCCGCCGCAGAGTATCACGCAACTGCCCGAACAGTGGCCGCTGCAGCAGTTTAGAGCCACACTGCGAGAATGACATGAAAGCCGAGCTCCAGACTCCGTCTGCAAGAGCAGCCTGGCGAGCGTGATCGCACTCCGGCCACTTGTTTTTCTGTTTGCGTCACTGACGCGTGAGGACTGTCACTCAAACGCGTCTGCCCTCGCTTCGCATGTTGTCATGTCCGCAGCATCTGTCGGCACGCGCGTCCGCCCTCGGCTTCGCGATGCAAAGTCTGCGGCACGGGGGCAACTCCTTCCGTGCCGCTGAAAACAAAAAACCGTTCACTTGACCCCGCTCCATGTCTTCGCTGCCTCTGGCAAGATCGATAGTGATACACATCGAGCCAAAGGTTGGCCAAGCAGGTCATGACGCGGGGACGATGCCTCCTGCGACAATTTCACAAGCGCAGTGAGCCAGACTGCACCACAAAGGTTGGCCAAGCAGGTCATGACGCGGGGACGATGCCTCCTGCGACAATTTCACAAGCGCAGTGTGCCAGACTGCGCCATGCGCAGAAGGCAGCGAGCGCAGCTGACCGAGGAGCCGTGCTTTCTCTCGCCGAAGCAATACACCTGAGTTGCACTCAGAGGTCGTAACGTGGCTAACAACCAAACTAACGGACATGAGTGACACGAGCGCTCCAGTTTTTACATAAACATACATCTTAGGGCAAATCAACAGCTGGACCCACTCCTTGAAAGCCAGCGGCTCGTACCGAATCTCCCGCTTGTCCACGCTGACCTCGCCCTCCATGCGCAGTTCGCCCCATAGGTTCAGGCCATGCTTGTCCTTGGTCGCGGCGTTAGCCTCGATGAGGCGGGTCTGGAGCTCAAGCGGCAGCACAATGCGCCACAGCACCCCGGTGCACCAAGAGTCAGGAACCGGGCTTTGACTACCATCCACAGAGCATAGGCGCTCATCTAGAGAAGGCTCCAGCGAGCGGCGACTGGGGTTCATGCGATGTGGCACGGGGTCGCTGCCTCCTGCGCCTGTCCCAATGGCCAGCTGGGACGCCAAAGATTCCACCACATCGTCGCCCTGCCGCCCACGCTCCCGCCAGTACGCCGCCAGCGCCAAGTCTTCTGAGTCCCAAAGCGGCAAATGCTTTGCAGCTTGTCCTCGCTTCCAGCTTACAGCCCCAACCACGCGGGACCAGGACAAGCAATCCCCCACGGCGTTGCTCTGCGGCAACGTCATTGCCGTGTACAAAACGCGAGACATCGTGGAGGGTAAGATGAAGTGTAAGGGAGCCAGATGCAGCTGCGGCACATCTGATCATCAGTCGGCATGTCCAGTGTCCGCACCCTGTGATGGAGTACAAGGTGCGCGGCCATCGCCGTGGCAGATCCTGCCTTCCCAAGAACAACTTTCGCCAGGCGGGTCCGCAAAGAAGGCAGACAGCAGTCCTACAGACGTTGTCGATGGAAGGAAGCCAGCAGTTCGCGCCGGAGCTTAGCGTAGAAGCAGTAGGCAAGAGTCGTGCGATACTGAGAGCTGAGCGCTCAAAGATCTCGTCCAGGACTGGCATCTTCACCTGAAAGCGGCAAGAAAAAGCTTACGTGTCGCGATAGACTGACGTGTGCATGTGTGACTGCTTTTGTTTGAAGGATCGAAAAATCATTTGAACCAAAGATAGCCCGTGCAACACCGAAGTCAAACTCAAAACAGGTCGCGTGCGATACTGAGCCCAGAGCGCGCCAGGATCTGCCTGCCAGCCTGACCTGACACTGAAAACGAAAAGCATCGTGTTCGCGACTGTGGGCCAGAGATAAGTCTCTAACACGCACAGATGCCACCATGCACAGATACACAGATGCCACAAAAGGCCAGCACAGATCACGACGAAGATGTTCATCGCGACCTTGGCGCGGCGTGCTCGCGGTGATCCCCGAGCACGAACAATTTAGAAGCTGCCTAGCGCATGTTGATCGCTATGGTGGCCGCCGCTGGTCTGTCCATGTCGCGAACATCAGCTGCTTGGCAGTGTAATTTCCGCAGCTCCGGCTAGAGAAACGCAAGGCTGGAAAATCGCAACTTTTCAGCACAAACGTAGCACGCGGAGCGCCTCCGCAGCTCCAGCTGGACCTTTGTATTTTTTAAGTACGTGCGTAGCACGGGTGTGTGCACAGCGCAGGCTGAGCACCTTGCGCACGGCTACAAGCGCTGAGCATCTTGCAGAGAGCAACTGGCGCGTAACAGCCTTGCATGAACAACGCAGCTTGCGCAGACCACTTGCGTGAGAAATCGCGCAGCGCTGAGCAGACTTGCGCAGAGCCAACTTGCGCAGAGCCCGACGCACAGAGTCACTCGCGAAAAGTTGCTTGCGCAGAGCCACGTTTCACAGAGCCAAGTTGCACAGAGTCATCGTGCGTCGATATGAAAAGGTGTCTCCGCGGCTGGAAGAGCACACGAAGAGAAACGCTTGGGGAACAAAGCTTTCGGGGCAATCGTCCTCTAGCCATCATGACAACGTGTGCAACGACAAGTTCATTCTTGGCAATGAGATTAACATGGGCTGCGGCAAGCTGAGGACAGAGCAGACTGCAAATCCAACCTGAGCGCGCCAAGCACTCGATTCTGAAGAATGGCAGACACGATCATCTGCAACTGCGTCAAAGCAACTCGAGTGCTTTTTTTTAGCGCATCGTTTCGCTGGAGACCTGCTCCTAAGGCTAGGAATCGCTCCACCAAGCGTAGCATTCAGCACGCAAGCCAGCGCTGTCTGCCCGTGGTCCCAACGATATCTCTCCATGTGCGTCGTCATCACATCAAAGCCAGCGTCTTCAGCCTGTCCTTCAGCAGCTCCACGAAGGCAACGCTGCGGTGCTTGCCCCAGCTGCAGGCCACGGCGACGTTGGCGCGGCGTCCAGCTTGGAAAGCACGCAGTTGGTCCTGCGCTGCGGACAACAGCTGCGCCTCCAAAGAGCCAGCAACAGCGGCCCGCGTCTCCAAAATGACCCAATTAGACAACAACCCGACAGTTTATTTCCACCCATGCCCTTTGGCCTTGCTCTTGCTCATAAAAGCACATCCGCTTGCGGTACTCTTCCTCTGCTCGGATTCCGTCGCACTCCGTGTCCGGCAAATGATGCTCCTGCAAGCATCGAATCGACGAAAGCAAGCGCACGATTGAAAACGATGCGCAATTTGTGCTTGCTCCTGGAATTGAAATGCTGCGCCATGCTGGATTTTAGATCCGTGGTGAACTCGCAAAGCTCACTCGCCAATGATGCAGAACATATGGCCACTCGTCGAAATTTTGCGGCGCGAACCTGCAACAAAAAAATCAGAGCTTGCGAGCAAAAAAATCAGAGCTTGCGAGCAAAACGAAAAATTCCATTTGTGTCCCCAAAGCTGACGCAAGTTCACCTGCCTGAGTCCTGGAAGCAGGCTGCAGGAATGTACTCTTCCTTTGCTGGGGCCAAGCGCCAAATGCCAGGGAACTCCCGATCCCACCTTCTTGTTTCGGACATACGCATCCGGAGTTGACCAGCGGCAAACCTGCGCCCGTGCACCTTGCGCAAGTTGCGCGCTAAAGGTGCGAACGCGCTAGAACGGCCCCACCTGGGCAACTCCCCAGTTGCAGCGACAACACCCTGCGAGTTCTCGAGCCATTCTTGATGCTTGGGCCACCAGAAAAATTCTGCCAGGGGACTGCAAGCTTCCCAACTGTCCATGGCAGCTTCGCACAAAACTTCATGGTAGCCCACCACCTTGCCCTTCCGGTACTGGAAGCGCTGCTGCACGCCTTGAGCTAGCTCTCGTTCCGACTTGTCTTCCGAAGCCAAATGCGGCCATTGGCCATGCTGCTCAGCATGCTTTTTGCATTTCTCGCGGAAAGCCTTGCTGGGGTCCCAATCTTGCAACCCTGCTTCTTGAACAAGGCGAATTGCAGCGAGCTTGCCTTCCTCATCCAAGGGTGCAATCTGAAGAGCCTCCTGAACATCCAGGGAAACTCGACCTCGAAGAATGGCTAAGGCAAGCTCCAGGCAAGCGCCACGAGAATCAGCTGCGCGCTCTGCGGCCGATCCGCCAGCAGGAACATAAGACCGAGATAGCACATGCGCTGGAAACCCGTAGAAACGCATTCAAACATACAAGGCAAGTATCACCTCTAAAAGAAGCAAAATATCGACCCCGCGACGAACAAAACAATCAAAGAAGCCTGCGCTGCAGGACAAGTCGCAGGCAAATTTCTCCAGCACATCTAGGATCGAGCATCCAGAAAAAGTGTCCGGAAGGTTGAGCCTGCTGCGCGCCTCTTGCAACGCATCCATGATGCGTGGATATGTCTCCAATCGCAAAGGGTCATCTCGAAAAGCAGCCAACGCCTTCCTCATTCGCCTCCCTAACAAATCTTCTGGACCGCCTGCGTGCGCTCCTGTGTAGGAACAACGAGGAAGGGCTCCAGTTTTCTGCAAGAAAGCAAAACTCTCTAAAGTGCTGC